TCGAAAAAAAACATGTGCACCGGACGGGGGGATCAACAATACTTGTTCTTCAGAAATGAGAAAACAACAACAGCAACAACAACAACCACGATGACGACGACGACGACGACGACGACGACGACGACGACGACGACGACGACGACAACAACAACAACAATAACAACAACAGCAACACAACCAACAACAGTCAGTTTAATACTGGTCGCTGCTGTATATCCAAAGGGAAGTCTTACGCCTCAGACTGCGATGTTGGCCCCCGAACCATCACCATGACAGCTTCCGCCTTACAACTCTTCACAGTGTATGCTAAATCGCGCTCTTGCGCGGGATTTCCGGGCAGTAGATCCATGATTGGCGCTCTCGCGCATACCCTCGCAATTGATTGAGCCGCCGCGCCCCCAGCACTAAGGAATGACGCTCTTGCTTTGTAACTCGTCGCGGTTGACTTGGGCATCGCGCTATCGCTCGAGACGTCCTCGCGAGTCATGTTAGATTGACGCTTGATCGCGCTCGACCTGGCTTTCAGGGCCCGCCCGTCCGGCCTGCCCGTCAGGATCCGCCCGCCAGACCCGCCCGTTGGGTAATGCCGCTTGTTTGCCTGCTCCTCCTCCTCCTGCTCCTCCTCCTCCTCCTCCTCCTGCTCCTCCTGCTCCTCCTCCTCCTCCTCCTCCTCCTGCTCCTCCTCCTCCTCCTCCTCCTCCACCCTCCTGCTAACCTCTCTCTTGCCTTATCCTCCTCCCTCCCCAGTGTGCCTTCCCTTCTCCGTCCCTTCCCATGTGTCAGGGGCTCCCCCAGTCACGCGTGGTAGGGAAGGAAACTATACCCCTACAGGGGGTACGAGCTTAGACAAAGAGGGCAAGTATCGAGGTGTTGGGACACGCATGCTGAATGAAACGCGAGCATGTGAGAGCGAACAGTTTTCAAATGATTGAAGTCTCATTGCTTCTACCCCCTTCCTGCCAATCTCTCTCGTGCTCGGTCAACCTCTCTCCCCGTGTCCCTGCACTGCCCCTTCCCTTCCCTTGTTCTAGTGGTTGCACCAACTACGAGGAGGGCATGTACCGAGGGCATGGGATATACATGTTGACCGACGCGCGAACACCTGAGAGCGAACGGACTAAAGCTGCTTGTCGTTGAGTTCCCATGTGTGAAAGGTATTGTCTATCCCCTGCGCGCGGAGGCCAATGGGCTTTCTCGATTGGAGTGCCGCTCCTGGTGCTCGCACCATTTCTTCTTAAAGAAGAAAATCTTGCGCTTTAGATCGTGGTGGCGCCCACCGCCACCGTGTACAACAACAGCGGCTCGCGGGGACTCATCCTCAAAATGTCTACAGGAGTTGCGTTCTCGCGTGGCACTTCCTCAAAATGTATTGAAGCGTCGCGCCCTCGACACTCAGGAATGACGCTCTCGCTGTGGATGTCCGCATTCTTTGCTGCCCGTCTGGTTCTGCCCGTCTGGTTCTACCACGTGTTTTCTGCTCGGAACCCCCTTCCTCTACTTGCTCTCGTGCTCCATCCGTCTCCTACCCCCTTCCATCCGTCCTCTCTTCCGCTGTTGTAAAGGCTGCGCTATCACCGCGTGGCAGGTACGGAAGATATACCCCCAAGCGGGCACGATCGAACACTAATAGGGCGGGTATCGATGGTTTCGCGCGAGACCGCGACTTGGGAATAACATTTGAGGAGATATCAAGCGGGAGCCGTTGTTGCTGTAACTCGGGGGCCAGGGGCCCAGTTTGGTGACCCCCAGTTTCTGCTTGCAAGAAAACTGGGTGCGAGCCCCGGGAGAAGCACTTTAATTGGTAAGAATTGTCATGGGAAAATGCATTGGTCACCAGGGAGGGGGGTCAACAACAGTCAATCTTTAGAAATGAAAGCTCAACAATCTTATGTTTAAAACTGTTCGCTCATATCTGCTCACGTGTCTTTCATATACAGAAATCGCGCTCTCGCATGGGATGTCCTCGCAATGTATTCAAACGCCGCTCCCTCGATACTCAGGAATCGCGCTCTCGCGGTAGTTGTCCTCACGATTTACTTCGGAATCGCGATGTCACTCGAGACGTCTTCGCGATTCATGCAGGATTGCTGCTCCAGCGAACTGGCCACCCGCTCGGCCCGGCCGTCTGGGCCCGCTCGTTCGGCCCGCCCGTTCGGGTCCGCCCGCCCGACCCGACTGTCTGATTGTGCCGCTTGCCTTCCTGCTCGTAACCCCGTCATGCTAATGTCGATCGTGCTTCATCCTTCTCCCTCCGCTCGTCCCTTCCCTCCTCCTTCCCTTCTCCTGTTTTAGGGACTATGCCAACTGCACGTGGAAGGTAAGGTAGATATACCCCCAAAGGGGGGCACGATCGAAAACGAAGAGAGGGTATCGAGGGCCTGGGATCTACGTGATGAAACACACGCGAGCAAACCTGAGCGAACAGTAGTAACATTGTTGTTGGTGTTGTTGTTGCTGTTGTTGTTGTGGCTGCTGTGTCGTTGTTGTTGCTGATGAATTATCATTCCTACCGTTTTAATATTGTTGATCCCCCTCCGCTCCGGAAACTATTTCATTTTGTCACATTCGAATGCTTATCCCGGGGCTCGCACCCTGTTTTTTTGCAAGGGAAAGCGAGGGGTCACCAACCTGAGCCCCTGGCGCCCGGTTTACAACAACAGCGGCTCCCGCCCACAATTTCCTCACAATTGTTTCCCAGATCGCGCTCTCGCGCGGTGTGTCCTCACAAAGTATAGCGGAATCGCGCTCTCGCGTGGGCCTTCCTCGCCATGTATTCAGACGCCGCGCCTTCGATACTCAGGAATCGCGCTCTCGCTGCGGATTTCCTGACGATTTATTTGGGAATCGCGCTATCGCTCGAGACTTCCTCGCGAGGCTTCACTGACCCGCCTGTTAGACCTGGCCGCCTGGACCCGCCTTCAGGACCCGCCCGTTAGGGTCTACACGCCGATCTGCCCGTCTGGTTCTGCCACATGTTTTCTGCTCCAGCCCCCTTCCTGCTACTCTCTCTCGTGCTCCATCCTCCTCCCTGCCCCCTGTCCCTTCTTTCCATACGTTCTCTCTGTCCCTGCACAAGAGGCTGCACGATACATATACAAGTTGCAGGTCAGAAAGATGTATACAGTCGGAATTGATTGGAGAGGGCACGCTAGAGGACACAAGACCCTTCCAA